TGCCGGGTGTCACGTATTCGTGACATGCCCACTGCGAGTTTACTTGTTTAATTGTTTTTACACATAGATGTTTACCGTTTACCCTTTTCTTTTATTTACAAAAATATTTTACGTTATCTTATTTTGCTGTTACTAATGTTTATAACATTATAGTAATTATGATATTTATAATAAAAATAAGCATCGATATTCATAGCACTAGTAAAATACATTTTCCCGCCAATTTAAGTAAAGGTGAAATCAGGTAAGAGCCATCTAATGTAGAGATATTTCACAAAAAAAAAAATAATAATAATAAAAAATGAGCTCAGCATTTTCCCCATTTTTTGTTCATTTTTACCCGACGCGAATGGGTTAAAGGGTTAATTCATTAATTGATAGAGATATACCATAACTTGAAAGATTTGTTGGTTTTGGTGGGATAGTCATGCACAGTGTGTATCTGTGGATAAAATTACCTATTTAAACTTTTTATTTGGTTTCCCACTACCTTTTGTTTATATTCAAGCATTTTACAATTAGTTACAAGATATACAGAATTCTAAAGAAGTATAAAAGAAAAAAGAAAAGAATTCACATACCCTTTCCCATTGCTAAACCCACATCCCAACAATGCTCATGCTTTATGAGAAGATTAAGGGTTAGGGACAGTGAAAGTAGCATGCAGGAATACCATCCTTCTCAACAGGGTCGTAAATAGGGAAAGAGACCCTTACCTTTTTAAAATAGCGGGGCTGTTAGTCTGTGATGAGTGCAGTCCTCCTAAAAGCTTTAATACTTTTTCTCCTAGTTAGGCTACATTTGCTGTGTTCTATGAAGATCCATTTAAATCTCACTGTATTAAATCCAGCAGCATATTAGTGCAATGTGAAGTGATAAGCACAGTCTCCACATTACACAAAAGACAGTCTTCTATATTATGTAAAAATAGAGCATGTGCTGGTACCTTATTTGATGCAAAATTGCCTGGTAAGTTTACAAACTCTACTGTGCTAGAACAGAATATACTTGGCAGAGATTCATTAGCCTATATTCAAGTACAAACCGCAAAAATTCAAATACTCCTCAAAATGTTTTCTTGGAAGATAGAGTTTGGTCTTACACCATTGTACCATTGCCAGTGCACAAAGCAGAGAGGCAGTGACATTGCTTGATAAACAACTGTGGGTTCACGTTACTTTGCATAGACTATTTCTTTGCACCTAATAGTGTTGTTACATGTTTTATATGTGACTATTACATAGACTTTGTGAAAATTGTAAATCTGAGTTAGTTTGATCTTGGAACCATTCTAAATTCCTCCCAGAATATATATGGTTGGGGTTTGCTAGCCTTTGCTGGAGCACTAAAGGTGTGTAAGCCACAACAGTAATGTGGTGCATTTATCATTTGTATACAAACAATTTTAATTTCCTTTAGCAGCACTATGTTGCTCAAGAAAAAAGTCTTAGAATCGACTTATATGTAGAACTAAACTAAACACTAAACTTTTTATAATTCGGAGACCTTATGGACATAGCTTTGCAGTAGATAATAGTAACGGTAAATCTTAATGTTTCATCTGCATTGCTTGCAATATATGTGTCAAAATGTAAATGACTGAATCTTCAAGATTTACTTCAAGGTTTTGAGGATATTCATTGAGCCTTTCCACAATAAACCAAAATGATTAGTTGCTATGCACTTGTAAAGGTCTAAGTAGCAAAAACAGTAAGTGTTTGTCATATTATTGGCTAAGTATAATTATCAAAATGAGATAACCTGCTTGGCATTTGTGGCCAACAGCAGTAGAATACTTATGTGTCAGTGTTTACCTGTCTTTTTGAGGAGAGCTCTGTAAATCTTACCACAAGGTCTGCATTGCCAAAAGTAATGGAACTGGTTACTTTTGATCCATACTATCCAATATGGATCATTTGTCATCAAGTCGTTTTACTGATTTTAATTGCCCCACTCATCAGGAAGTGTATGAAGTATACCAGCTAAAATATGGGGTAAAGCAAGACAAGACAAGATAAAACAACAAATATCACAGCATATGTAGAGTAATGGACACAGCCATTCGTGTATACTTTGAGATATTTCAAATTATTTTGAAGTTTTAAAACTTTGCAAACTATTGGTTATTGTGGGGACATCCCCCTTGTGTGGGAAGCAGTATCTCATATAGTAATTTAGGGGTGCCTGTGGCAAATCAGGCTTTTGAGTTGCAGGAGAAGATTAACCCAATCAGCATGGGTGGTAAGAATACATGCCATGCCCATTGTAATATAAGTTGATTTATTGTACTTACACATAGATGGCTCTACAAGTGCTTAGTCACCAAGGAGTCAGTTATTAGTCCTACCTATCTCACCTGTTTACAATATTTATATCAATTGTATTAGAAAGAAAAACAATTTTAAAGAATGAGGAATTCAGGAGTGGTCACTAGGGCCTCCTGATTGACTCCTTGCTGGCTGATAGCATGTGGAGCCATCTGTATGTAACAAAAATCATA